AAAGTATTTCAAAGAAATAATCAGATGTAGAATTTCTTACAGAATTTGCACTACATGTTAATTGTTATTTTTCATGGAATGTAGACATTTCTCTGTTAGAGAAGAAAATCTGTGTGCTACTGTGTCCTTCAGACTAGTTGCCATTCTTTAATGAAGTTTTGATACAGCCATTGGAGCCTTGTCCTGCCTTGAAGGACATATGTAGTGTTTGCATGTTACACCATCTCAAAGACCTATGCTTTGTTCAAGACTGTACCACTTTATCTGATTTGTGTCATTATTAGCCTGCATATGTTGGAGCTGTTGCCTCTCTTTGTTCATTTGTATCATTGGAAAGAACGAGGATGAAATCTTGTCATGGAGTCATCTCTGAAAATCACTTGCATATTCATATTGCTCCTAACATGATCTTACTCTATCAAGACTCTCTTACTGCCACTTCTGCTTTATTCATAGCTGGAATATATCTTAGTGCACTTTGCATACTTTTATGGGTAATATGAAACTGAAAAATTATGAGAATCTTTTTGTATTCCTAAAAGAACAGAACTCTTTAAGAGAGTCAAGGAGAGTGTAAGTTTTTTTTGCAAAAGGACTTCTTTGAGTCATTTCGTTCTTCAGTGTTCTCATGACGATTACTCGCAATCTGGGGGATCGCTGTAGAAGAATAATACCTCAGTCCTTTTTAACTGTCATTTTTTAGCTGTCCTTTGGTAATCACCAGTATCTTGTCTTTTGCAACAGATCCTGGTGGTGTCTGAAGAAAGAAATTTAGTTATTTGGTTTTGAAGTTATAGTGAGACAGTGACTGTTAGTTTCAGCTGGGATAAGACAGCACTGTTCTGCGAAGAAGATTTCTTGCTCTCCAGCCACGAGTGTGCTGGCTTCTTTCCTGGTGGGAATGCAGCTATTTATGCCACTACTTATTAGTTGGATGGGGAGTATAGATGAGACCTGAGCTAGTTAGTTAAAATTAACCCAGACAAAAAAATTATTATTATCTGATTTCATTGTAAAAACTGTCATGGTGCATAATGGAGACTGTGCTGGCAGGTAGGCAGAGGAATGGTCATCTGGGGCAGAAGTGAATGCTTGAGAACAGGGGAATGGGACAGTTCTTGGGACAGTTCTCAGATAGCCTGATCTGAAATAAATTGTGAAACTGTGCTGTGAAGTTTGGAATGCATTCCGTTTATACCTTGAACTCTCGACTTTTAAGATGTAAAGGTTGTATTCTCTAAAGAAACTGAAGAGCTGAAGTTTCTCAAAGCATCATTTTGAATTAGTCAGCTGTTCATACAGAAGGATTTTGCAACAATGATAAAGTACAATCCTTTTAATGTCTACTTAAAGAATATGGGAAAATATCAAACAATGGTGTAAAGAAGATGACAAAACAGTGAAATTTCTTTTTCTAGCAATATTTTTGTTTGAGGGTGTTCCTGTTAACAAACTTGCATTTTAATTGAATTGTAAACCGCTGTATGGCTTGTAAAGTGTTTTGTAAGGAATTTAGGGAAATGCTAATTCTTGCAAACTTTTTCAGAGACAAATACCACTTCTGTCTAGTTTTTACTCTTATGCCCATTCACAAGCCAAGGTTAATATGCCTTCATTGTAAATTTAGTATAATAACCAGTAAATCTCTCTTCTGAATTTACAATATGCTTACTCTAATCCTTCTGGTAACTACAATTCTCATTATTTCAGTCCATATGCTCTTCTTTTCTCCAGTGCTTTGGGAACAGATAGATCTAGAAAATCAAATTAACTCCAAGGTCAAAAAATGAATGCTCAGAGCTGAAGAGCTCCTTTCAGCTGGGGTTGTTGCAGCATTAGATTGAAATTTTTGAAGTTTCACTGTGTTGCTAATAATGAAGAGACATTACCTGCAGGCTCTGCAAAGTGAACCTGAGTTCAAGGGGACATACATTTAATGTAAACTACAGTAGAAACAAAGGGGAAGCTCTGGACTTTTTATGGCCAGTCAGTAAAAGAGAAAAAAAAACAACAATCCACTAACCCCAACAAACCCCATAAAACGAAGAGGTGACACTTTCCCTTATGGAATCTACAAGCAAATTCCTTAGGTTTTTTTCAGTGAAATAAAAAGGACTTTGATAACAACAAAAAAAATTAGGCCAGCTATGCAGAAACATTTGACAGAAATTTCTTCATCTTTAATCTGCTTAATGTGAAGCATGACCCACGTCCTCTGATTTTTTTTTTAACATGCTTTTCCAAGCTCAGTAGAGTGGAATATGTATGTCTAAGTATGCCTTACACCAAATTGCCGTGAAGTGCTCATAAATTACACATTTGCAGATGGCAACTCTTGCAAGTAGAGTGGTTCATCTTGCTTCAGTGCCAACGTGAGACATGAGCAGCAATTGGATTTTCTGATTTCTGAAGCATGCAATTACTCCTGTATATAAAAGGAAGCTGTATGTGTGCCAATAACGTATTAAGAGATGATATTTATTTACTGTCATCATTATACCAGGAAGATCTGCCTTTTACAGATGATTATTAATTCATTCAGCTTTTGTTCTAGCAGACCACATCATATTTAAGATCTGATATCCCAGATGCAGAGTAGCTGAAGCAAACTGCTGATGAAGATTCTGGTTACTGTTTTCAGAATTATTTTTTTGCTGCCTTAACCATGAAGCCAAATAGATATGAATTTCTAGACACCTTAAGGTATGATTTTTAGTTTTTGTGACAGAAGTAACAAACATGAGTTTTCAGAGACTTTAAAGTTCTTCTGGGCCACACTTGCCACAGAGTAGGATCCCCTGTGCTTTTTTTTATGACTAGTTTACGCAGACAGAAACCCAAGTGAAGGAGAGAAGAATAATGAAATTAGGTGTAGCTTGCTCTCGCTTCCTGCTTGGCCACTGGTGCTTCACAACCTTTTAGCACTGTCTGATGCCTTCTCCTTTCAGCTTATTAGTGCCAGATCCAAGGAGCTAGAGAGATGCTGTACTGTTCTGCAGTCTAATTTTAGAGGGATGTGCTATTTTGCCATTGAAATATATTACATGTCAACTTGCAGAATGACATCAGACCAAGACATACCTGTTAGTCCATGACTAACTTTACTGTTATTCTGCTAGTGCATCTGGAATGAATACTGGATTTAACAGGGCAAAATTATCTTAAAGCATAACTACATAAGCAAAAGACGTGACAGAACTTGAATTTAAATTTGAATTAAATTAATCTGAGGATAAAAAATGTGCTTGTCTGAACCAAAATGTGAAAACTGTGTAAATTAGAATGGCAGTTTTGGATACAATTTTCCGTATTTTCCCTTTCCCTCTTTTGGGGGAAGAAACGGCTGACGACAGTTGTTCCTAGTTAATCTGTTAGGAGAATCTCACAGGAGTGTTGATGTGTGAGGTTTATCATGCACTCATAACTTCCAGTGAGTGAATTTTAAATAAGATAATTTTGATTCAGAAGTCATTTGGAAATCTATGCGAGCCTTTAGGAAAGGAGGGCAAAAATGTGCACGCTGCCCACAGAAATAATGAGGATAGTAGCCAAAGAAGCAAAAACTGGGAGTCTTGGAATTCTTGATGGTAGTTCAGAAGAGATTCTATTGTATTTATATACTTATATACTTATATATTTATACTACCTATAGTAGTTTAATATCAGAGAAGGTTTCTTTCCTAGAAGGCTTTATGGACTCAAGAGAGGAAAGAAACTGTGGTCTCAAAGACTTTAGATCCAGAAAGGTCTGTTTTTCTGTGCAGACTGTGTTGCCCTTCAAAGCACAGTGGTAATCTTCTCATATCATCTGGCTCTATGATTCCTGTTGTATGTTATCCCGTCCTCTTTGTCCTCCTGCCAGAGTTCCCAAACTGCAAAGACACAATCAATGTAATAAAAAGCATGAATTATAAATTCATAACTTAACAGGGTGCAAACTTAAAGGGTGCATATGCTTAAACAGGGTGCAACTTAAAGGGTGCAAACTTCACAGGGTGCATATGCTACCACTTCTGCAATGGTGGAACTCTTAGGATTGCTTTGAAATGAGGAACTCAGGGGTAGTTCAGTTACTTGGACAAGCTAAAATAGTAATCTTGGGAAACTTCATGCCTTTCTCAAATACGAGTGGAAAACCGACATAATACAGTGGTGAGATATGCCAGTTTGAAATTACGATTTTTGTAATTGTAGGCCTAAGGCATGGGTTTTCAGTTCACATGGGATACACATGTACGTGCCCTAGGGCTGCAGAATGTTACAGCACTTTGCTTTCTCATGAAGCTCTGGTCACACTTAAGAGAGGGGAACTTCGCTTTGTGTCCAGCATGTTGGATGTAGATTCAGCAGGACTGAATTAGATTACCAGACTTGCTATTTAGTTTTCAGTAATGTAACCTAGTAAGCAGCCTAAAATTTAGGAATTTCAAGATACTGAGGCTAAAATCTAGTAATGAATATGAGATGCTCAATTATTTTCATCTAGAAGGACATGTAAGTATGTAGGAAAGTAGTAAGAGTTTAAATAGCCTATTTCACTTCACATATCAGTGGTTTTAATCTGATGAGAATGAGCAGATACAGAAACGTAAGCAGATAAAGAAAATTGATGAAGCTGTAGAAGTGGAAAAAGGCAAAGAAAAAGCAGTAAGTAGTTTTTATGTACTGCTTCTCATAGATAAAAGGTTATTTTTGATAGAGGATGTGGTCTGATGCTTGAGCAGTTTCTTTCAAGGATTTTATCCGTGGAACCTACTGTACAGTAAAGAACAGTCTTATGAGGGGTTTTTGTGTCTAAATACCTTGAATGACAGATGTGAAGAATGTTTATTCTTCTCAGAGGAAACAAATGCATAAAGGGTTCAATGTTACGTTTTTAGTTGTGTTATTTGTGGCACTAATGGCTTTTCAGTCTTTCAAAGCAGCTCGTGTGTATATCTTCATAGTTCCCAAAATCCTAATGCCAGTAAAAATTAACAGAGTTTCTTTGGTTGTTTTAGAGGTGTATTTGATGCTTCCCTCAAAATGGCTGGGTTCTATGGACTCTACACTTGGCTGACTCATACTATATTTGGTATTAACATAGTCTTCATACCATCTGGTAAGAATTTGGACAATTATAACCTATTTATAAATAATATTACATAATTATTTATTGTACAAAATTAGAAGGATTAAATGTTGCTGACAAACTTAGTCTAGTCTTAGAGAATGTGGCCATGGGTAGGATGGAGAGAAGGCCATGATTGCTGTCTTATCTCTGAGCCTTGCCTTTTCCTGTTTTCACAACACATTCCCTGCCAGCTATTTTACTGCTTCTGTCTGTTTCTTTTCCTGGATGTAATTCTTTCTCCCTTGTATTCAGTCCAAGTCTTTTCAGGTTTTAGCTTCATTCTGCCTGTCTTGGCTTCTATTTCTTTTGTAGTTGACAGGTGCTGATTTTTCAAGATGCCTAAATGCAGGAAGATGTGGTATCATGAAAATGCATGATAGAGGCATGCTCCTTATTCTCAGTACTGTTGCCTGACTGTATTACTAGCCTCTGATTTTCTTTTATTCTTTAATCTTTGCTTTGGAAATGGCCAATGAAAAATGTTCTTCCCTTTTCCTCTTTTGACTCCCTTCCTCTAAAAATAATAGTAATTTTAAAATGTTCATCTACAAGGAAACATAAGGGGAGCATAAGGCAAGAAACCCCAATATAACAGGAAATGGCTGTATTATAAAGTGCAACTGCCTTAAAGGCATTGGTTGCCATTAGACATACTTAGAAGGTAATCAGTCCTTTTCTTTCAACTACATGCAAAATCTTAAAAATTTTTGCTTTCTGGTTAATGAAACAAAAAAAAAAGAGGGAAAAAATGCACTTTATTGTGTTTGTAATATGTTAAATTAGAATGACAGCAGTACTGTATCGCTTTAGATTACAACAGGTATTTCAGATGGGCGTATGCCTGTGTGTACAGGTTTGCATACAGAAATATGTAAGTAATAAATTTTGTGTTTGCCTGGTTATTGTGGTTGACTGCAGGAGATTAAGTTAGAGTGAGACTTGGGCTCATGTACTTTCTTACACACTTCTTTGAAGTTTTGTAACAGTTTGAAGTATGCATGATGGGTATAATGTCAAATTTGTCTGAGTTGGTGCCTCTTTTGGAAGTAACTCCTTGTGACAGACTGTTGCTGAAGCTCTTGTGTCTGGGAAATAGTGTCATTTTCTTTTTTCCTAAACCACAGCTATAAAACACCAAGAGCCTCATGTGGTATTTTTTCAATGTCTTATTTAGAACAGTTGATAGAAGTGGGACTTACTGGTGTGGCAAAAGTGTCGGAAATTAACTGTAAATATATTTTTGAAATATGTTTCTCTGGTCTTTTTCTCACTTCTGCTTCTGTGTGCTCTAGCATTAGCAGCAATCCTTGGAGCAGTGCCATTTCTGGGGACATACTGGGCAGCGGTCCCTGCAGTCCTAGATTTGTGGCTTGTGCAAGGACAGGGATGCAAAGCCATTTTGCTCTTGGTTTTTCACCTCTTGCCAACTTACTTTGTAGATACAGCAATTTATTCAGACATATCAGGGTAAGTACATTGAAGACTTCTTAAAGTTAGCATTGTAAAAATTATTGACAATCACTGATGCCTTTAATTAAACTAAATTTTCTGAAGCATGCAAAACAGTATCTTCAAACATAGGAGTAAGTGTAGTGATATCAACTCATAGTAAGAAGTCTTACTAGCCTAAGTGCCTTTATTTTCCCAGGCCTCTTTTCTGTGAACTTTGACATTTCAGAGGTCTTGAACTCAGCATCGGCAAAATTAACTGTTTCAGTTGGGATTCTTAGAATTAGTTTACCTTTTCTGTTTACCTAATCATTGACTAAAGGTGTGTCTAGAATTTTACTTTATATCCCCTAATGCCAGATGATGCTGCAGAACAAATAAAACCATGAGCTAGTTAGGGACCTGAAAAAACACTAATTTTTCTGAATGGATTGTGAGAATTTTGAGGATTTTTTTAAAGCCAGCCTTTGTGTTGTGTTACCATAGTCCAGTGCAAAAGTCTATTGAAATTGCAAAACTGGAGATAGGCTTCTCCTGAGACAGTAGCCAGTGCTGTTTTCCTATTGTAGGGGGTAGGCACAGATTTCTTGAAAAAACTTCGTAGATGTTTGGCTACCTCTTTTGACTTGAAATGTCACCTGGTTTCAGGTTTGAGTTTGTACACAGAGAAACAAACTCCAAATGATGAAGACAAAGTCAACATTTGCAGTCGTGTGTGTGGAATGCAACAGAAATGTTCACTGACATTTTCTGCAGCTGAATTATCTGTGAATCCCTTAACTCAGACTAGAAGATAAAACAACACAGTTAAACAGAACTGGCAAAGATATGAACTGTCTAGTTTTCCACATACAAGACATGTTCACAAACATGTACAATATGGATATAAAGGTGTACTTCTCTAGTTACTGTCTGAATCCAGGACTTTATGGTCCAGACTTAGTTATGTGCTGGTGCTAGTCCCTCATTTGCGTTGATCTTTATTACAGAAGAATTAATGTAGAATAAGGACATAAGATGTTTAAATTCTGTTTTGTTAGAAATTAATATTTTTGTTCACGAAATATAATTACACTGAACAGAGAGTACCTAATGATAATATGTCCAGTATTAATACTAATTTTCAGAGATTATTGCTATAATTATTTTGCATTAATTTGAGCTACCAAGTGAGGTATAATCAAATTACATTTTTTCCCAACAGTAAATCATGGATAAATTTAAGGCTAGTAGCTATTTAAACAGCCAATAATTCTTCTACTTACTAGAATACTTTTTTTTTGACTGTAGGGGATGCAGACTCTGTTTACCATCCACAAAATACAGGGGGGAGGAATAGATTTTCTGACAGTGGAGCAAAATTGTATTCTTCCCATTAAATAGAACAGTAAGCATCATGCTACCTTGCAGATTAGATTAAACCTATTTGAAATAGCTATAATTAGGTTATGCAGGGTTTTCTAAATGGATTAACTTCATATTTCATCAGGTGACCTGTTGTTTAATTTAACAAACTAGCCAGAAGAATCTTTAAACCGTTGCAAATGCTGGGGGAAAAAATATTTGAAGTTTTTAAAGATTTAGAAATTAATCATGTTGGAGAAACATAAAACTTTAAGGTCAAGTTTGTCCCCCCAGAAAAACAATCTGGCCCTGCCAGTAGGTTAAGTTTGCCCTAGGTGAGACATGATTGAGGTGTGTATGATTTAATAGGTCGTGTTTCATGGTCTTGTTTTGCATGCAGTTGTGATGAAGGCAAAGACTTAAAATGTGGAAGTTGAGTAGAAGTCAGGTCCACAGTAGAAACCTCAGAAACTGTTGGGGCTCTGAACTGACTAGCTGGTATTTTCAATGCATTACACTCAAAATTTAGAGGAACTTCCTGAAAATTGCTTGCTAAGTGTCAACTGTAGTTTTTCTTATACAATTCCATATTACCAGCATTATTTTAGCTATAAAGAATGAAGGATGGTGAACAGGTTTTGTGTAAATGCTGTTGGTAGGATTCACATTTTGCACCCGAATTGAGACCTGGAAAATAAAAATGGCCTGGTTTAGTTGCTGCCATAATAGCTCTTAGCAAAAGCTTATCAAAAAGCTTTATCAAAAGCTTATCGATAGCTCTTATCAAAAGCTTATCAAATGACCCAACTTTTCAATAAATATTGATATGTTCATGCAAATCTGGTTTTGTTTGTCATCTGAAAACATTAGAAGCTGATGATAACAAGCACTCCATCTGAAAGGTTTTTTTAATAACAAAATGAGAGGACATGGCTATTTATTTAAAGGCTGTTTACTAACTGTTCCTTGAAAGATGTAATCAAAGTTGCCATCATCGTGTAAATTAATGTCTTTGCTCAGGGGTGCTCATAGTACATGTTGCTAATTGTGTTGAAATTTAGCAGTTCTTGACCATAAAGCATGAACAGTCTTTGTAAGCAAGCATCTTTCCATTCCCAAAATGGAAATGTTTTTGCCATTAAGTCCTTCAGACTTTATTCAGCAGATGTCTATAAAGTAACTACTCTGTTTTGGGTATTTCCAGCATTACATGCTACAGTAGCATCTGATCTGTTGTGCAAATACAGCACAGAATACAGATTGGAACATTTGCACAGTCATTCAAACAGCAGTTTATAGTGTAAATATGGGTATCTGTAGCTAGCTCTGTCATTTTCTAAGCTTAATAAAACTTTATTATTAATTCACATTTCATAATTGATAATACTGTGTTGTTCTTAATTTAATTTTATTCTTCTTGTGCCAGAGGTGGTCATCCTTACCTGACAGGTCTTGCGGTAGCTGGTGGAGCATACTACCTGGGACTGGAAGGAGCCATCATAGGACCAATTCTACTTTGTATACTTGTGGTAGCTTCCAACATATATAGTGCCATGTTGGTGAGTCCAACAAATTCAGTGCCCACTCCCTCACAAGCAACGTGGCCATTACAGATTTACCGGTGAGCTATAAACGTCTTACTTGTATGCATTATGTTTTTACACAATTCAGTTATGTCTGCATAAGTATAGAGAATGAATGCACGAGTTTTATATAAGAGCATGCATTCACATCTGCATGAGTACTGGAGTATTTGGAGAGGATTCAGCTATCCTGTATTCTGGAAATGAAAATTATGGTAAAGTAAAACACTCACTGGAACTTGTATACTTGAAGTGTTTAACATCTCTCAGCCTCTTAGAGAAGGCTCTTTTAGAAAATTCACTGATAGTACTTTTGTGTCTTATAATTTACATGTTGCTAGTGTGCTAGGAGATGATTGAACACCCTTTTTTTCATGTAAAACTATTTTTATGGATATCTAATAGAGTTCATTGTCCTTAATAAAGGGCCTGCCAGAAAATACTGTATTTTTATGTGTTAATTTACAATACTGCAAAATATAAATAAACATACCTAGATTTTAGAAAACGTGATAATATTCTGTACCATTATGCCATTAAAAGTATGATCCTGTAAATGTCATCACTGAAGTTACTGAATGTGGAATGTAGAAATGCATCTTTAAACTGTACCATTAAGGAATGGGATAAATAAACTCCTAATTGAATAACTAATTACAGTTGAAAATCACATAGTGATGGTGTTAATGACAGTAGCCATTTAAATGTCTCTACTGTCTTATTAGATTATACAGGTTTAACTCATTATACATATATCTTAAAGGGGATTCTCTGCTTGTGAGAAATAATCTTTTGCCTTATTCCCATGAATAATGTTGTCTTTCATCTGGGCAGCTTAGGAGAAAAAACACTAATTGGACCTGTCTGTACTCTCTGACTTGTAGAAGTTGCATTCCAAGACTTACCATATATGCCATAGACAGAGTTTCCCACAATACGCACAAAAATTTGTATGTGTTTGTTTCCTGTTTAGTTTGTAGGAAACTGGTTATTTGTAACCACTGGGCAGATTTGAGTCTTACTTCTCACTTTTCTTTCCCACTCCCCTCCCCTGCCCTCAGGTCATCTCGAGAGAGTCCCGAGGAGATGAAACCATCTTCAGAGTGATGAAGGTGCTGTCCTGCACGTATATAATGTGAGGGAATCGCTGTCTTCTATCTTGACTTCACAACAGCCATGGCCTTCTGTCCTTTCCCAGCTGTGCCTGGGGGGCAGCTCACAGGGAAGCATAGCTTGGGTTTTAGGAGAAAGTATTTCTCAAACATCTGCTGGCCTTACATTATTGTGCACTTTGCCTCTTCAAGAGAGAATGTCTACTTCCCAAGGCTTTGCATACCAACACACAGTTCAACTATCTTGTTGAAGACTTTGAAGACCTTCTGTCTTCATAAAAAGAATGGTTAAGAGGGACAGGTACATCCACTGGAATCATTATGTTATCTGCTGAAATTACTAACTTAGCTTTTATTTATTGGATTATTTGTCTTATTAAATTGTAGTAGCTTTAAAGAAAGCTGTAATTCCAAAATATTTATTTTTAGCTAATCTGGTGGTGAAAGAAGTGTAAACCACTCATTGTGAAATGAAAGTATAAGTATTTGCTGCTCCTCAAAGTGTTTCTTTATAGGCTTCAACCATCATATGTAACTCATAATAACACTTAAATGTTATCCTCTTATATGCACCGAAATTTAGTGGTTTTGGAGACTGGTCTTTCTAATATCATCCTGAAATGAGTAGAAATGCAAACTGTTAGTTGTGGGTTTTCCTCTTACTGAAATAGGAGGACTTGTTTAAATAGTTTAAATCTTGCCCTCATTTGCAGTGAAATCTGATAAGATTTTGCTGCTTACCCACCCTCTCAGTGGAGTCATCTTGTCAACTAAATTTAATCCAAGGCCTTAAGTGTTTTCAGGCAGTAGTAATGTGTGATAGTCATGTGTACTTCCAGTAATAGGAAGAAGTTGAATGGGGATTGTTGGTTTTCAAATGCTGTGGCTAAGTTCAGTTAACTTTTCAAACAAATTTTATTTCCAGAGAGAAAGGGGAGATAGCATAGATTTTGGTTTAGTTTAGTTTGGGGTTTTTTAAGCCTGTAAGCCTCTGGCTAAATGTCTTTCTAAGACATAAGATATATCTTAAGGTATATCTTATTAATAAAGTTCTTAAATTTCTGAAATGAAGTGTTGCCTAGGTCACAGCATGAAATCCTCTAGTGTTTTTCTTCCATACATAATTTTGCTTAAATTGCAGTTTTGGTGACATTTAAGGCCTTTTGTATTGATTGTTGAAATATTTTGACACAATGGATCTTTATAAATGGATCCTTTTTGTAAAAGGGAAGTGGGCTTTTTGGTAGATATTTTTCATAGTTGCACAGCTTTTCCACAAATACAATGAGGCCCTGGGTACTAAGTAGCAGATGCACTTGCTTAACCAAAGAACCACCTTTCAGTTTCTAGTAACTTCTCTTGAATTTATTTCAGTTTGATTGATAATAAGTTGTACAAAATACAGGCATGCCGTGTATTTATTGACAGTAATGTGATGGATGAAACAAAAATCCATTCTTATCCAGGGATATCTGAGATGTGTGTACAAATAGCTGTCAGTAATAAGATGTTTGTTTTACTTGAGTTGCAGGAGTGCTGATAGATATGGAAGGTTCTTACTTTCATGGTTGTATGTATTTTACATTGTTTCTAAAAATACATTTCCATGGAAAGTGATTGGAAAGTACTCTGATGCTTAGTAAGCAAGAAAGTCCTGCTATAGGTTTGCAATAAACAGGCTGCCTATTAAGACACAAATAGCCTTGCTCCTCAGATTCTCAAAATTTACTGCTGCAATTTTACTGATGAAATTTTGTATTTAAGTAGAATGGTTGAGTGTGCTGTTTGCACACTTGCAGGTATGTGTTTGAAGGACAGACTCGGGCTTAATTTAGTAGGTTGACTCGAGTTCATTGAAATATGGAAATATCCCATTTAATATTTTAAATTCTGAAAGATCTACACCTTAGTTCCAACTAACTGAATAAGAAGAATGTATTGCTTGAATCAAGTATGTATCCTGTGGTTTTATTTCCTTGGCTTTTTGGCTCATGAAAAATCTTTAATGAAACATATTTTTATAATTTTTACTGACTAGGGCGAAGGATGATGAAAAGCTTGAAGGTATCACTAAGTATTCCTGCAACATTCTAACCAGCTTGAATGAGAACACCATTATACTTAGGAAACTTCCTTATTATATCACTTTTTGTTTAGTTCACAGTTTTGCACTGAATTGTTGTGTTCTTGTTGTAGCTTTTTGTAGACATCATTAAAGAAGATTAGTAGCAAAAAAAAGAATGCATCTTTAATGTATTTCCAGTTTTCCATTGCACCTCTGTGCTCACTGGTCAAGATATTTTATTGTCCACATTTGCTATCCCATTTTCTGAGACAATCTTTCATATTTCTATGGTACTCAATATAGTCATTTTAAAGAGTCATATTGTTTGCTTTTAAGTTTTCTTCCTTCTCCCCCTTTGCCTGACCACCTTAGATCCAAGAGGAGTCTCTTAGGAAGATTAAAATCATATTTCAGACACAGTTATCTTCCATAATGGCAAATGAGTAAAATCATCTGAGACGAGACATTGCTATTTTGCAATATTCCTTTCCCAACGCAAAAGAAATTATTTTGTATAGAGAATTCATATCTGCTATAGTCTTGTTAGTTTGCCCTCTTTTAAAATGAGGCTTTGTATTGATGCTTCCTGTTTCAAAGTCAGCTGAGACTCGCCATGAAGAACCATCCATAGTACTGTCTTAGTAAGTGTAATTTTAGTAGCTGATGCTGTGGGCTGTGCCTGATTGAGGAACCAATTATATGGTTCAGTAGTGGTGCAGTGACAGTATATTGCCAAAAAAAAAAACCAAAATAAGAGACAAAACCTCTACCTTCTTAGAATAGAAAATATTCACTGATTGTCACCATGTTTAGAAAAAACCCACAAAACACCACATTATGAAAGAGCGTACTTTGATTATATGGGTTTTGTGTTTAGTAAGTGGCTAATTAACAGTAGAAATAGAAGACCTAGTTCTTGCATATTTAGCAATCTATATTGTTTTCTGAGAGGACTCAACCTCTTTAAGAGTGGTTTAGTTTAGATCAGTCTCACATTAATGCGAAAATAATCAAACCGGTCATTTTGACTTCTGGTCACTGTAAAGAGTCTATTCATGGTTATATTTCCTCATCTGCAAAAACAACCTGCGGCTCAATAGGATAAGCTTTTAGTAGATGGCTTGTGGGGTTTGTAAAAAAAAAAACAAAACCAAAAAACAAACATAACCAAATGGCAACAAATCAAACCAAAATCTTACTTTTCTGCAGTTTTCTACAATTTTCTTAGGAGAGACTACCTTCTCCATAATGCTTATTGGGAAGAAGTTGATGGCTTTTAGCTGTACTGTAAACACTCATTACAGAACTAGGTATTTACTAAATGTATTTAGTACATGCAGTGTTAAATTTGAAAAAAAAAAATAGAATTTTGAAGGGAATGCTTGTAGTAATCCAAGACAATGTGGTCTCATGGTATTGTGAAATTCAACTGTGGTGGATTTTTATCATTCTCTTCTAGCAAATCAGGCTTGTTGCAATTAAGTGTAGTGCAAAAATGCTGATGCTGACTGTTTCTGGTACTTGAGTCTGAGTTAGCCCTTCCACCCCTTGCCATTAGCTGAACGTTATTGTGCTGTGGCAGAGTTAGCAGAAGTGACTGTGTGCCAGTTTATAGCCCAGCATGTTAACTTCAAGTCACTGTAAATACTGGCTTAATTGGATGCACGGAGCAACAAACTGCAATGTGCAAGGATCTGGCACACATTCATTTTGCCAGCCTTACTACAATACAGTGGCTTTCAGCATGGATGTACTGTGACCAGTTGGGAGCAGGAATGACTTATTTTGAAACACTGCTTAAAAAAAAAAATTAACATCAGAGTAATACATACAATACACATTTTTCAGAAATTAATTTGCTAAGCATATATCTAACTAATAATGAAGCCAGCAGTCAGATAATTCTGTGCACAATGGTGTGTATGTGCAGTTTATTTAGGGTACACTTAGGCTTGTCTGATTTCAAGGACTGTGTGGCTTCTCTCAAGGACTTTGGGGGGGAGGATGCACTGGAGATGTGTATTTTGTCAGTAATTATTGGAATGGGAAATCCATAATATGTTACATTAAACACAATAAGAAAAAAGCATTGTTCAGGGAAAATCGGATTCTCTTTCCACTCTTATACTTTGGGGGTATCAGCGTAACTTTTGAAATAGATGTATGGCTGCAATGTCAAACATTGTTTTTCAGAAAACCTGAAAATACGAAACTGAACGAAATTGTTACTCAGTAAGAGCAGCAGCTGAATTGCTGTGCTGCTGATCCCTAGCACTGGCAACAGAATACTGCAAATGGTGCAGCCCTTCCTATGGACCTGATAAAGTAAGGATGGGAAAATACTATTATTCTGCTGAGACTCCATAGCTTTGCATCACTGGCAGAAGATGCTTCCACAACTGCCTTTGTTCAAACATTGTGTTTATATTATATTGACTTGAATTTGTCACTGCAGATAGTACCACCTCTATTGGATACTACCTCTGGAAATAGCTACAGTTTCCTTCAGAAGGTGTCGAAAGGTGTTTGGATTGGAGTTGGTGTTCATTAGGTTTAATAAGAGAGGTAGCATTCTTCTAGAGATGCTGTTGTTTGCCTTGAAGTTTGCAATTTTACAAGAGAAAATTGATTTCCCAAATAATCTTTGTTGAGTGACAACTGGCATCTCTTAAATCCATGGGTACATCAACTTTTTAAACTCAATATATTAACTTGTTTTTCAAAGTTTCTTCTTACTATTATTTCTTACATTTTTTGCTGAAGCAAACTTTGGCAATTCCCTTATTTCTATTTCTACAAAACTAGGGTTGTCTAAAACTCTTACAAATTTAAAGGAGGATTGATCTTTAACCTGGTACTATTTATCTGTCACTTTTACTAAAGTACCTGAGTGCTTTGTGGTAAAATTTTCAAAAATTGCTTTTAAGTGATTGGAGATAAAAAAAATTAAGTTAAAAAAGCAGCAGTGTGGAAACTTAATTTGGTGTTTTGAAACCCAAAACAATGCCAGAAGTGATGAGCGTATTCAGGGATTCTACACTGGATTTTTAAATGTATATATTGGTATGCAGCATTATATAAATATGAGCAGTCTCTGTCTTATTCAGACTTCAATTGAAATTTTTTGCTATCTTTTTTTTTAATGATATCTGAGAACTAACTTGTGCCTGTAGATAGTGAAAACAAGCAACATTTTCTAGAATTTATGTTTACTTGTTACAGATTGAGGAACAGCCAAGCAAATACTGGTAGGGTAACTACAACTGTTTTGTTGTTAGTTCATATAAACTAGGGAAAAGCTGCTAGGAATGCACTGCTGAGAGATTACTGTTTCTGGAAGTATTTGCACACATCCTCTAAAGAGCTGCCAAAATTAATAGGTCATGAAGTATGTCTTCAGTTCCCTAGACTCCTAATCTCTTCCACACCTCATCTGGTATCTTATTTTGAATATGGTTTAGTACATGAGAGTATTGCTTCATCCCCTTTTGGGAATCAATTCCAGGGCCTGAAGGGCATGCTTTGAATGTCCATACTGAAATAATATGTCCCACTCAGGAAGGAATTGCTAATTGGAAGTAATTGCATCCTTGATCTGCTCTGCATATGGATGGACTTGGAAAATTATAATTCGTGTTGCATTGAATTAGAGATTATTTTTTGACTATAAGTACTATGTGGTGACACCAAAGCCATGTTTGAGTGAGAAGCAGGGCGTATTTGCTTGCAGCAGGATGCATCTGCAAGCTGATAAAGCAGAGTGAGTGCTCTAGCATTCATATATATGTGTGTGTGTGTGTGTGTGAAGAATTTTCATAATGATTTTAAAGCAAAAAGTTGATTTCTTTTCCTGGCCTCACTTTTTTACCACCAGACTGTCATACACAGTGATCCAATGAGGACCTAAAATCAAAGAAACTTTTCATGGTATTGGTATAGATTAAATGTAAGAGGTATCACAAAGCTAAAAAGTAGCCACGGAACAAAAGTTCATTAGGCTTAAGAACTGACATCCAGACTGTAAAGGATGACATAAGACTGGAAAAACAAAACCCAAGTATTTCACCACGTTCTGCCAGTCTCAACCTAAAACAGGAGCTTTTTCAAAAAGTGTCAATAATAACTATTTTTGTGTTGTACATAACTTACTGGCTCTGTAGATCAATGTTTTTAGTTTCTGTCATCTGTCATGACTGGTTTAATCTACAAGCATACAATTTGTTCAGATTGTTGCCTTTAAAAACAGATTTTCTGTGCTTCAGTGATGGTTGGAAACCAACTTTTTATACCAATAGTTAGGTGCTTACCTATACTTATATATGCTAGCTAGTGTTTGATGTTTTGCTCAGAACACTAGGGAAGGTTGGTTCGGAAGGCAGGGGGTTTTTTTCCTCCTTTGGGAAATTTCACCAAAACAAATCCAAAGAAACTTTTGACATCGAATCCTAAGACTGGCTACACCCTACTCAAACCTAACAGCAGATCTTTTGCATTACAGAGCATGGGTTGTTCTAAAACATGCATTTCTACCCAGGCCCCGTGGGGATTTGGAGCAATAACTTCTACTGTCTGTTGACGCAAATTTTGTCTGTAAATGTACATGTGATACATCTTCAGAATGGAACTAATGTTATCAAAATTGGGTTTGGTACAGTACCTGGTTTTGCATGTATAATATTGAAAATATAACCCCTGTGTCCACCTGTGGCAGAATAAAATGTGTAAGTTAAAATTGAGAAGTACTTGTGTAGACTGCAGAGGTATTTAAACTAAATAATTTTGATTGTATGCACCAGTGCTCATCCTAATAAAAATGTTTTTTGTAGCAGGTTTAAGATGCTTTTAACTTAATACTGTATTCACACCACAGTCCTTTGTAAGCACAGAATGGTTAATATATTTTGAAATAAAATGCCGTTAACGTAAAGAAAACTGAGTTTGATTTGAATGATGGGCTCTTTGGAATCAGCCACAAAGGCCACAGTTAATCTGTTGAAATAACAGGTTTGCTGGAGCTGGATCTGCAGTCCTTGTATATGACTTATGTCGCTGAGAGAAACCGTACTTCTGGGGGTTTTTTCACGTTTTCTGTGGGATGACATGTGCCTCAAGAGTAACTACGGGTCAGCTGGCACCTGGCAATTTGCTGCACTGCCTGAAGTAACACAACCACATGTCCAGACCCTACAAAAGCTTGCATTCGGCAGCTCTAGGTAATTCAAGTTACTTCTGTTATGGCTTACTCTCTGAACTGGAAATGGTTGTTTAGTGTCTAAGCAGAATTTTAGATTATTCTATTGACTATAAAGCAAAAGTGGTCAAATTCTCCTTGCGTGACTGCTCACACCTTTTAAAATGAGATATGGCTGATGTTCCAGTTTTCATCCCTCTCAGTGTTCTGTGACCAGATTCATTCCCTTCAAGTAATTCATATAGGAGAGTCAGTTTTAGCTAGTATCTCTTTAGTTTTCTGAAGGGATCAAACCTTGTTTAGTTTAGTGCATACAAGGTGGGAGTTTTTTAGCAGATGATATTAGTAATGCAATTATGATTTTTTTTTTTAATTGGGGTGAGTTTTCCAGATGCTCAGAATTCCTTTTAAGTTAGAACCAAGACAAGTGTATCTGCAATCAGGCAGCCCAAAGCACATGCCCTTCTGTGAGAACTCCTTAGCTCTTATATTTCTTTAGTGATTTTAATGTGCAGATAATAGTGCTTTTATAAAAAGATAATAAGAAGTTCTGTTCAGTACCCATCGCAGATAAAGTTTTATAATGATGTAGCACAACCTCTTTGATCAGAGTCAACTATTTCTTCAAAATAGTTCAGAAGGTATATGTCCAATATTTTCTGGGTGGGAGAGTAAAGAAAATGGAAGAGTTATCATGCAGATACATATGCAAAAAATGTGCTGATTACCAACGTATTTTTGAGCTTGACCAGAGATACAATTTGAAAGATTTCAGTCTTTTGGCTTTACCATTTATAAAATAACAGTTGGCATTTTGAGAAAAAATAAACCCTAGATGTTCAAATACATCTAGTTGACATAAATCCAAACACACTGTGGATGATAACAAAGTTGAAAGCCATTCAGAAAAGCACTGAGATGGTATCTGTCTCATGGTGTGTATAAAATTTCATGCTGCAACTGAATTGTAATATGTAATCATATCAAATGTAAAAAGAATTCAGCTTCTATACCTTTGACTGAAGGATGTTTATACCAGCTGACATAGCTTTGTATCAAACAATTAACAGTTTTTGTCTACCGTCCCAAATCAGAAGTTACTCTATGCTAGCTACTTTTCACAAGGAAGTTCATATTTCACATCATTACAAGTAGTTCCTTTTTTTTCTTCTTTATATGAGGTAATCCTTGATATTAGAGTATTAATGCTGTAGTTATCTGTGCTGTGATGGGTCCTGAAAACTTCTTTGAGGATCCAGTTCCCTGAATTTCTGAGCATGCACGCTTGCTCAGTGTTTTGGTCAGTTTGGTAGGTGCATGATGGTTTAAGGAAGAGGTAAGAAAAGCGTTTAGCAGGTGTGCAGTGGTAGGAAACAGCTAATTCATGGCTCCACTGAACTAAAGATGGGGGTGTTCCTGGAAATTACAACCTGTGTAATTGTATAAGGGTGAAACTGTCTGCCTCAAGCAAATAAAGCCCTAACTGTTCTAGATCCTCCAGAGCACTCTCCTGTAATACGTTACATGGGTATCTGCTGTCCTGGAGCAGAGAAGATGGATAGGAGCTATGCATGGAAGCAGCAAGAGTTACTGAAAGCTGATATTGTCCTCATTGTCACCCCATCTGAAACTGTTTGTGGCCATATGCCACAGAGCTTGGTCTGCTTGGCAGGAATACTGTGTCAGTCCCCTGTGCAATGCCTAACCAAAATTAAGCACACCAGACTCTTCCACTGTTTCTACACCATTCTTTGTGTTATAGTAATAGCTGTAAAAAATCTCCATCCATTCCCTCAGCTAATTCCTCCTCCCTTCAGTGTAATGTGGTTTTAAACACTGAAGGTACTTGCAATGCATGCAGGTGAAAGCTTGGGTCCAAGTATGTACCAAGAGCAGTGTGGGGTGGTATTTGTGGGTTTTGTTTGGTTTTTTCTTTGCAGACTTGCAGCCATGCACACATTTGCATGCCCAATTCACAGGTGGAATTGAATCCTTGTGCCTTACATAACTAAAACAGGCTCTTTGCTTTGATTTTACCTTTCTTACCAGAATCTAATCTTTTTTATAAATAAAAAATAAAACCAAGATTATCTTGGGCAAACACCTGCTTTTGTTTACTTTAGAAGACAAACAGCAGAGAGAAGATCATTGTGATAAAGCTCTGAGAACCTTTGGGGCTTTCATAATTTTTTGATGAGTATCTTTCAGCTGAAGTTGTCTGACAGATTTTACGGAAAATCATACATTATCTTACTTAGCCTGACTTAAGCCCTTCTTTTTTTTAATGGGAGAGAAAAAGTTTAATTTAAGAGTTTTGCATTACTTTACTCAGCACATCCTTTTTAAAGCACTGCTGTTGCTGACTACACACTTTGATTGCTCAGAGAACTGGAGAGAAGTCAGGTTGCAGGCTTTGCACTTCATGTTTCTCAGTTTTCCCAAGAAAAAAATTTCATTCTCAGGGCCATGAATGTAATTGGGCTTGTTTAGGAAAGGTATACTTTAGTAATTTTGGCTTGTTTGAACTTATCATAGAATCATATCTTAAATTAGAAGGGACCCACAAGAATCATCAAGACCCTGCACAGGACCATCCCCAAGAATCACACCATGTGCCTGAGAGTATCATCCAAATGCTTCATGAATTCTGTCAGGCTTGGTGCTGTGACCACTGCCCTGGGGAGCCCGTTCCAGTACCCAACAATCTTCTGGGTGAAAAACCTTTTCTGATATCCAGCCTAAACCTCCCCTAACTCAGTTTCATGCCATTTCCTCGAGTCCTGTCACTGGTCGTGAAAATGAAGAGATCAGTGCCTGCCCCTCTGCTTTGCCTCGTGAAGATGTGGAAAACTGCAATGAGGTCTCCCCTCAGTCTCCTCCAGGGTGAAGAAACCCTCCAGACCCTTCACCAGTTCAGCAGTTTCTTGGGACATTCACACTTGTGTTGGTGAGTTAAATTTGCTGCCCCCAGTTTGAGATTACAGATTGAAAGGCTGAGAGCATTTGATATGGAGATTTAGACATTAATCAATAACTAATGGTACAAACAGCTTAATGATCACCAGATTAACAAGAAGCACTGTGGCAAAGAAGCATTTCCATATAATTCTCTTCTACATCTGTTTTACCAACAGAGGTAACTGCCCTGTCACAGTTTAAATAATTGGTCTTTTCTAAGATGCTGCAGTCAATGAGTTGTAATGATTAGTATATATAAAATTACTATTTAAGGGAGTATGTCCAGGTATGTTTATCGAGCTAGAGGGATTTAAAAAAAAAGACTTACCCTCAGTAGCTTTAGAACTCAAATTAATGGTGGCAAACTTAGAAAATGGCAGTTCCACCAGCCAGAACCATCCCAGGGATTTTGGCATTGGTGATTTGAAGGCTTTTATACTAGATGTTGAGATGACACATGTCAAGCTGTTACCAAACACTGTGCACATACAGGTTACAAGCCTGTGGATGTCCAAAAATAGAACAAAACAGTTGAATAATATTGATTGACAGTTAAAGGATAACTTTATTATTTTATATTTGCTGGTTGGAAGTCAGCTGCAGGGTTTTTTTTGTGACAATAGGGATATCGGTCTTGCAGTGAGAACAATATGAAACTGCAAGAGGACTATGTGATGTGGACTTCTGTTATAAGATTTTGCTTAAATGTGATGTATTTCAAGAAAACCCCAAAACCAGTCTGTGAAATTCAGAAAGGGAATCTAGATCTGATTTTTATCAAAACAAATAGTTGCTTAGATCTATGTCAAAGAAAGGTCCTAAAAAATCATCTTCCCCTGAGACGTTCTGGAACTTTTTCTTGGTCAAGACAGTTCAGTTCTACTCAATTCAACCAGGTTAAAGTCACAGCTTCCTCTTCAGATATCTGATGGAAAGCCTAAAACCAGTATATATTCTCTTCATGTCAGGTTTTCTTTAGATATTTTTTTTTAAGTTAATAATCTACAGATTTTTTCAAACAAATCCTCTTCTGTGAAGACCAAAGGCTACTGGCTTTTGTCAAATGCTGTTTTTGCTGAAGACATTCAAGAACTGAGTCAGTGACAGGGGAATTCAGCAGCTTACACACTGGGAATGTCAAGCATTTTCTTGTGCTTCTCAATGGTTTGTAACTGACATGTAACAAGTTATTTCTTTGCTTTATGAAATACCGTTAGTAGGTAAGTGTAATTAGACTGTCATTGCTGTACTATTGCAATGGTGGTTATTCTACTCCCATTTTTCAATACATCCTAACAAACCATAAACTGCCTGTACACTGTAAAGCCTATTTCTTCGTGGAGGTTTAAACTACAGACTTTTTTTGCCTCAAAGATGAAATAAATTTGATTTTCTCTTTGGAGTATTGCCAATGAGTCCTATATGTTTTCCTAGCCGTATTTACCTGGGAAAGTGTCAGCTGATTTGAACTCTCTGCTTATCATCACCACTGGTTTACAAGCATTAAACACCTTGCCTTCAAAGCACTTCTGCTCTCTTATGAGAACAAATGAATGTCCTGTGGTGACAAAAGCTTCCAATATATTTAATTTTCTAGTCAGAATGAACTACCTTGCCCTAGTACTTAGTAAGTAGTGAAACAGAAATTTCTCAGTATCTGTACAAGAACATCAGATATGCCTGTGCATTTTCAAATATCACTATTCTCTTTCTCTCTCAGGAATAAATATTTAAAGAATATTATTCTGAGTTTAAGTTCTCCCAGCTGGAAGAAATTCACCATGGCC